GGGAAGCGCCTGGCGCAACTGCCAACTCACGTCTACGGCCCTCCCGTTGGAACTGTGGTCCGAGTGTCCCCAGTCAGACTACGGCTGAGTCACCGAAACACATGGCCTCGTGCCAAGGGGCAGGGGAGCACGACGCGCTTTCGGGCAGGTCTCCTCCTTTTAGAAGAAAAACAAAATCAAGTTATTTGAAAGATGCAGGTTTAGGAAAGAGAAAACCCTCAGTTTTACGAGGCCACAAACCTGGAAAAGAGTCCTTAGAAGCCCCTCCCCTGCGTCCTGCAAAAGTCCCAGAAACCTCCCCTGCCCCGCTGCTTGGGCAGAGCTGCACTGCCAGCTCTCCTGACACCTGGTTTAAATATTAATTTGCAAAATGTCACAAACGTTTTGAAGGAAGGATTTCAGTTTTCCATCCTCTTTACCGTTTCACATCATCCCTCATTTACTCCTAACTCCAAAGCGAGGAAATACTAATTCTGTAACTGTTGCTACTGAAAAAGGATAAGTTTATCCAGTTAAACCCACTCGCCCTCCTGGAACTTACTGGAACGTTAACTGCAAGTAGGTTTTGCTCTGAGTTAGTGCCCCAGCCCCAATAACCTACCCACACACATGAGAAAGAAACAAAAACAAAACAAATACAAATGATCTCTAAAAGCAAAATTAAACGTTTACACAACTTGCTGACTCAGTGCGGGGTTGGGGGACGCAGTGGACAGAGGGAGCCCCAGGCCCCCCGGCCTCCTCCCTTGTCTTGGACGAAAGCTCAGCCCCTGGGAACCCCGTTTTCTCATGTGTGAGAGGGTTTAGGAACCACGTCCTGGAACTCCTGTCAGGGTTAAGTGAGCACAGAGACAACCGTGTAAGTGCCGGGCACTGACTTGGCAAACAGTAAATGTGAGTTTCTTTCCTCTTTCATCCCGAAGGCCCTGTGCCAGCCAGCGCCAACAAGCCAGCACAGTTCAGTTCACTGATTCAGTGCAAAAGGACTCTGATGCCTTTTAGAAAGGTACTCAACAAGTCGAGGCACAGTGGCTCTCGCCTGTGATCCCAGCACTTTGGGAGGCCGAGGCAGGAGGATCGCTTGAGCCCAAGAGTTGGAGGCTGCAGTGGGCTGTGATTGCGCCACTGCACTCCAACCTGGGTGACAGAGTGAGATCCTGTCTCTAAAAAAAGTCAATCAATTGAATACTCGATTTCCCATGCTTCTAGTAAGTTGATATATTTTTGTTCTTAAGGAAAATGTTTGTTTCAAATATGTATTTTTGATCCAACAGGAAGTGAAACCGAAATTTAGCCAGGGCACCACCAAGCCTGGGCCCTGAAGGAGAATTGGGGACGGTTCAGAACACGAACTGGGAAAGCAGATGACGGAGCAAACCCAGAGGCCACCGAGGACCTCCCCCGACACCGACGCTGACCAGCGGCCCCCACTCTCTTCCTCGCTTTGCAGTTATCACCCCAGAGCAGCTGTGCGGCGCCCCTGGTCTAACGCCGCGTGTTGGGACGATGCTCTTGACCAGATGATGCAGCACAGCTATTTTTTGTGCTGCTTAGGCTGATAACTGAAAACAAATTATGCAGAGTAATATTCAGAGTTAGAGGATTTTGCATTCGATCTTTTCCTCTGGCTATTAATACTCAGTATCTGTTACCGTATTTGGAGCTGGCTGGCTTTGCATAATTACTTTAAAACCCTCTGCTACTTTAACAAATATCTCAATGAATCAGATTAAAATTTTCCAACATGACGAAACTATAATCCGACTCAGACTCCGACATAACCTAAGATATAAAAAGGACCCAGTGAGTCTTGGTGACGGAAATCAGGGGCCCATCTGAGCCCTGGAGACCTGTTTGTTTTCTCCACCAGCCCCGGGTAAGATCATGTTTCAACTACGGTTCTACAACAATGCACATCTAACCTACAGTTAATGCCTCCAAAAAGTGAGTTAAGAGACTTACGCACACCTTCATTTATTCACCCAACAAAGCCTGCGAATGTGTCTGGGCCTCTAAGCTGAGGAAGGTGCACAGAGTCTCGGTCTCATGGAGCTGGTAGCTAATGCTCCACCAGGCCACGCGTCTGACTACTGTCTGCTGTGGTTAACCCATACCACTCAAGATCAGGTTGAACGTAAAAAAAAAAAAAAAAAGCAGCAGCTAATTTCATTCCTTTACGCACAAAACCCTTCAAAAACTGCCTGAAGATCCATAGTGAGTCTCCCCTCAGGCTCCTAACCTCTGGGTGGAATTCAGCAATCCTAAGTCCTTCGCTGCTCCTCCCTGGCAGCCTTTTCAACAGCGGTGTTTAAAATTGCGGGTGTTGGAGGCAGACAGGCTGGGATGTGATTTGCGGCATGACTTGGAGCCGCTACTCAGCTCCCTCCCTGCACAGCAGGTGGAGCTGGAAGCTCACCAGGGCAGGAGTGTGCTCAGCCCCACCCCTCACACCTCCAGGTGATCCAAGCTCAAACTGGGCTCAGCGCCTTCGCCAGCAGTCCACA